ATGTTATCACTGTGCCCGTTTTTTGCTTTTATTCTTTGTTCCGCAAAGTGCGCTCTTTTAGTTTGTAGTGATGTGACAATATATATATGTATATACATCGCCCAACTGGGCATGTAACAGCCTATCTACTCCTATCTACGTTCATGCAACTGGATCACATCGAAGTTGAAGACCACTGTACGTGACGTCATCACCAATGTAGACTGCCAGCATACACCAGGTATGTTCTCTCCCCTCCCCTCATCCCACCCCTTCTCCCCTCTGCCTGCACCTCCTACCTGAAGACCACCATCGCCATCATCTGCCACCGCACGCTTGGGCCGGCTATGGCAGCCATGCACCCGCTGCCACCGCAGCGCCCTCTCACCTCTTGCACCCGCGCCCTGGCCTGCCTGCTGATCGCAGCTTTGCATGGCATAGCAGCAGCGAGGCCGCATTGCCTGCTCAGGCCAGAATGCCCCTGCCTGGGCAGGGCATTTTCCGTTATGGAAAGTGCGGCCCTGTGTTTGGCTGCGTGGCCCTCGCTGGACGAGTTTCCAGTAGCTTCCAGTCGGGCCCCAGTATCTGCGCGCAGGCCCACCTTTGCTGTTACGGGCCGGGGCCCTTTACAGTTTGGCACATCCAGGCAGCCCTCCAGGCTCAAGTGTTTGCCGCATTCTCATGGTCTCGCAGTGGATGTTTGACGACAATGCTGCATTCTCATTGGTCCGCGGCCAGTCCGTGAGCTGTCGGCCTCCCACAGCCTGAGCCCGGGGCGCAACCGCCTGAGCCCTGGGCTGAACTGTACAGCGCAGATCTTGCTTCTGGAAGGAGCCTCCGAAGGCTCACGTTGCTCAGTAACTAACTGGCGTGCTGCAACTGTCTGATACCCCGCGTATGGAAAAATGACGAAAATAGGCGCTGAGCTAGGCTGGGCCGTCGCCCGGCCAGGCATGCCTGGGCCAGCTGGGCCGGGGCGGATCGCCCGGCAAAACCAGGCGGGTCAAAAAAAAGGGAAGGATCTCAAAGAAGAAGAAACTGACTTCAGGCCAAGACTGCGCTCGGCCTGAGCAGTCAGAATCCGGCCTTACCTTCCATTTTGGTGGAGGGTCACCCAGGAGTGTTTGGGGGGTACAAAGTTACTCTAAACAATGACTAGAAGGGTTTAAAAGGGTATATCTTACCTCATTTCTCCGTATTTATTTTTATCTTAAAATTAATAAGGAATGTCGAGGGGACCCTCAGCCAAAAGTTGCTTGTACTGCAATTTTAGACAGCATAGTTTTTTTCCAGATTTTTTTGAATTTTTGATTTTTTTGATCCTGCCCGGCCACTGCCCGTCCCGGCAGGCACTGCACTTGCAGGGGCCGCAGCCCAGAACATTTGCATGTCCGAGATGGGCCTCGTGAGGGCTCATTCCTCGCAAAAACAGCAAAAGGCTAAAATTTCCTCAAATTTTCAAAAATAAAATAAAATGAAATTTCCGTGAAGTTGCATGTCGCATAAGTACAGACCAGAACCAAGAACCGACCTCTCATAGATAGAGCAAGATGGCACAGCGGAAGACTGGAACACCAATGATCAGACCCAATCAATGTCGAAATGCAGGCTGGACATACATCGTCATCATCAGTTGGTGTGAATGGCCTGGCGCCACACACCAGGACGAAGGCGCCAGGCACAGCACATACACAGATGAGGAGGAGGGGGAAGAGACGAAGGAGAGGGGGGAAGAGAGGAGAGTGTCGTCAACCCAAATGTCGCTGATATCAATCCCAAATAGTCCCCCAGAACATCTCTGTCGAGTGTCGAGTCTGAATCCCAATGTCGTCAATCCCTCTCTCTCTCTCTCTCTCTCTCTCTCTCTCTCTCTCTCTCTCTCTCTCTCTCTCTCTCT